AAATAAGACCTATTTGGGGCGCCTGGGTGGCTCAGTCGGTTAAGCGTCTGCCTTCGGCTCAGGTCATGATCCCAGGGTCCTGGGATGGAGCCCCGCATCGGGCTCCCTGCTCCGCAGGAAGCCTGCTTCTTCCTCTCTGACTCCCCCTGCTTGTGTTCCCTCTCTCACTGTGTCTCTCTCTGTCAAATAAATAAAATCTTAAAAAAAAAAAAAATCAGACCTATTTATTTGTGCGCATATAGACAAGTATATGAACGCAGAGAGGAATAGCTGGAACAGAACACAGCAGTTGTTAATATATTGCTTGTGTCTTTTAAGCTAGGTAAAAATAAGTAAAATTTAACACATTTTTCTCTGGTAAAAAGTTGATGTCCCCAAATCACAACTAAAATATTTGGACTTACTGCAGACCTAGAGCCTGAATTGGCATATATGAAAGTAAGGATTGTGTCTCTCTTAGAGTTTTAGTCTCCTGGTTACTTTACGGCTCATGACTTTTTATTTTCCTTTTTGAAATGTAGAAAATTACCAAAGAAATGGATGGCTTTCTACAAAACTTGAGGCAGAAGATCAAAATTGGAGTAGTAGGCGGGTCGGACTTTGAGAAAGTGCAGGAGCAGCTGGGAAAGGATGGTAAGTAAACGCTACTTGTTGTTCACGTTTGGTTAATGGCAGCTTCCTATGAGGACGTCAGGACCTGTGGCCCTTAAGTATCTTAGGCAGGCCCGAGCTCTCCTCCCCGTGTGGCAGGCTTCCTGCTGCCTTGTTTGGACAAACATTCTCTCTGCTTTTTCTTTCCTCTGTTCTTAATGCTATAAATAAATTTCTGGAGTTGGTGGTGGACCATTCGGGACTCAGATACATGGATGGGGTCGCCCAGATGTTTGAGTGTGTGTGTCACTGCCTGGAATGCTTCACGTTGTCCCCGTCCACTCTCCTAGCTCAACTCAGGCCCCATCTCCTGACCGTCCTTCTCACCCAGGTGTTGAGGTGCCCTCTGGGTCTAGGGGCCCCTCTCCGTTGCCCTCACACAGGGTCTCCCAGAGTTCCCTAATCATGAGTCACCCAGGCTCCTTCCCTGTCTATTAAACCAGGATCTCCAGCGCAGGACTCCAGGAAGCCAGGGGTTCTTACTGGCCCCTTCACTGGAGATGCTGAGGTCTCTGGGGCCTTTGAATCGTATTTTAGCAGCCCCCCCCCCCCCGGGAGATTATGATGCACAGCCCTGCTGGCAGAGCACTCTCTGCTCGTTGGAAACTATCTTGTTATCCGTCCATTTTTCTTGAACACTACGACTATGGATTCCTCATCTTGTAGCCCCAGGGCCTCCTGGGTGCCTGGCCTATAAGAACTAGAGGGTGGCGAGATGGATGAGTTGATCCTTCTTCTGGACACTGTTGACATTTTGGGCCGGCTCATTCTCTGTTGTGGGGGGCTCTCTTGTACACACTGTAGGATGTTCAGCAGCACCTCTGGGGCCTCCACCCATGGGATGCCGGGAGTACCTCCATGCCCAGTGTGACAACCAAAACTGTCTCCAGACATTGCCAAGTATCCTCTGGGGGGCAGAATCACCCCCAGTAGATAACCAGTGTTTTAGCTGTAATATCTTACAGTCCAAATCAGCGTAAGCTGTATGTATTGGATTAGTTACTCTGAGCATAATCTATGCATTCTCTTTAAAGCTCTCTGTTCTGCTTACACTTAATTTTCCCTGTAGATGTTCTACTTAGAAACACTAGAAACAACATAATGGGGCACATTAAGCCCCAGAAATCCTGTTACCCGGCCCTGTTAGCCCTTTCTGCCTCTGGCCATATTTTTAACCACAGGCTCAGAGAGGTTTTTTGTCAGGGTAGGGCACTGTCTAGATTTCAGAGTGTGAGTCAAAACAACAGACTCAAAACATTCACAAGCTAGAAGAAAGTTGAAGACCCAGCTGTATCAGAATCACCTGGGGAGCCTGTGAAAATACAGATGTGAGGGCCCCCCCCAAAACACAGGGCACCTGGGAGTCTGCATTTTAACAAGCAACTAAAGTTTGAGAACCCAGTTAGATTTATGTGAGTGGTCTCCAAATTTGGCTGCATGTAAGAATCACCTAAAAGCCTTTTAAAAAAATTGGGTTTAAAAAAAAATAAAAATAAAAAAATTGGGTTTTTTTAAATTCTGATTTTTAGCCTGGCCCTGCATGTTTTGATTCAGAAAGCCTGAGAGCAGAGCCTGGGAATCTGCACATTTTCATCACTGCCCTGGGGATGCGGGTCCACAGGGAGGCTTCGGGGCTGTCCTTGGCTCCCGTCTTCCTCTCCAGGTAGAGGGGGCTGAAGGCAGAGACGTGAGAGGGCCCACTAGCAAGTCTCCCGTCTCCAGCCTGGCCACCGTCTTG